AGTTTATTGTACATGAACGCCATTCTCAAATAGAAGAGTTCTTGAATAGTGAAGTTCGAGGTGAACTGATTATGTATTTAAGAAGGGCTCCACGAAGCGAAAAAATTTTATGGTAATTATTTAAATATTTATTTTACTTCGAACGATATAGGCAGTTTTAGAGAATTCTGCTAATTAACAGTTGTCTAGATTATTAAAAAAATAACTTCAATGGAAAATTTCAACGGTAGTCAGTTCTCTATTGTATTTAGATTATATCACAAATTTTTTGAATTTTTCTATTCACTAAAAGTAGCTTAAAAAAATATTTCCAAGTTACGTACTCGCTTACAGGCCGTGCGCGCAACCTAAAAATGGCGCGTGGACAGCTATTTTCGGTGTTAAATTAAAATTATAAATAATAGAGATACCGTTTCGGAAGTTGGAACTTTTTCAGTAAATTTCTTCCTCTTCAAGTATCTTATTTTCAAAATTCGAAAATATTTATATCTTGCGAACTATAAACAACAAAACCGAACACTGCTTTTTAGGGTCTTCAATTGTTTACAACTTTTAGAATTTTTTATAAACTAATTTGCTTTTTTTTCACAATGATCTAGACAATATTCCGGATCGAATGAGCCTAACCACTTGATTTTACTAATAGTATGTCCATTCAATACGAATCTAAACTTTTAGCCCAGACAACTACAATTCTTCATTATTTTTCTTGAATAGGAGGTCCAGTTTCGATGGATATCAAGAAAAACCATTTTGCACCTTCAAAATTCACCTCATTCCATCCTCTATTCCTGGTGTGGACCTCGATTCATTTTTTCTGTAAGAATCAATATGATTTTATACGTATTTATTATTTTCGCACTGTTAATGTTTTTTCTCCTTTCTGCCTCTCTTACAGGAACTCTCATATCTCTCATAAATTCCAATAATAGGTTATGACGGAACATTCTCTCACAGAAAACGAATTTTCCGACTAGCGGAATTTTTCCTCTTGCTGTAAAACGCTGTTTCACTCTCCTCCATTTGTGAAAATGCTTTTTGAGATTCTGAAAATTCCTGGGGTATTCTTTCCATTTGTGAAGCTTTTATGAAACTCATTCTGATCCAGATGTTCTTTTTATTTCCGTATCATTGTTCTCCTGTAATTCATTAGAGAACAGGAAACGAATAATGCGAATGCCTGACTAACATGTACACTCGCAAAAATTCCATACCACTGATTTATTTCTGGATTGACGATGAAGATTGAATGAGTTCATAAACTTCCAGAAGACAGAATCTGAAAATAATCACGGAACCGTAGTGCCCCATCATTGAAAATTCCACTGGAAATAATTTATTGCAAATAAAAAAGTTTGATAGAGGAGGTTTCAGCCCAAGAACACTCATTTCTGAAAGGTATTGCAATCTTTCAGAGCATAATTTTTGACAGCTACCAGAATGGTTGGAGTTTTCGCGGCCGCGGTTTCGTGTCTGCAAACAGCATCCTGTAATTTCCTTCACTGAGTACATGTTCCGCCACAGGCAACTTATCCGTTTGGTCAAGTATGCTGTTTATTTCATGATCCTTCAACCTTGTTTCCATGGATCTTTTGGTGGTTCCGATGTATACCTTTCCACAAGTGCATGGTATGCGAAATACTCCTGCTGCTGATAGTGGGTTTTTTATGTCTTTAGTCGACCTGGAGCCAGCCACATACGCCAGTGAAACGTCAAGAAGAAATTCTAAGAAGCGACACTGAAGCTACCAGAACTTCTTACATACCTCTCCATCATGATCCACATACCTCATCTATGGAGCCATGTTGAGCCATTCTATAACTCAATCTATGAAACACCAGGTGCTGCGATATAACCAAACAAAATTCAATCACTTTGAATCCATAAGAACCTTATTGAGTAGATTTTAAGACTAAAACAGCCACCAGTCGATGACGTCATGGAAAAAAATTGGAAATGAGCTGAGGATCCAAACCCGACTACTAGATTGCGTTATCAGAACTGTCAGTTATGGAGCACTGTGATACAAATATCAGAGTTAGTTCGTCAGAGATTACTGTGGTTTCTAAAGTGCCCTTATCTTTTGAAAATTGATCTAATACTTGCGGGAAAGTAACACTTAGCACCATACAACAGCCCACGCTTAAAATATTGAATAGCTTTGTCATGAATATGGTTTTTTGAAGCGGGAACCTGATAATGAAGATTTGAAGGTTATACAAGAAGTTAGCTAATCGTAGAGTTCTGGGGATGAAGCTATTGAATAAGTAATTGAATCTGCATCTGCTTAGTTGAGCAACTGGGGACGTGTAGTCCCAGTTCGTTGATAATTTTGAATGGAAGAAATGAGTGCCTATATTTTCTGCGTGCCTCGAGAGAAAGTATGTTCCATATGAGTCCTAATGCAACATAGTCATAGTATACATGCATCTTGGAAGCAATATATCTCATGAAATTGTGTTGCCTCGAGTTTTACTCTATGTGTAACGTAATGAGGGGACCAAACTGTTGAACAATAATTGAAGTGGTATCAAACCAAGAAAAAATAAAGAGATTCAATAGCAGTGATGTTGGTGAAATTGCAGGTTGCCAAGCATGGCTTCCTGAATTACAGCAAGAATTGTGATTTATAGCTAAGTGTGGAGTCAAGGATTACACCTAGATGTCTGGTTTCAGTAGCAGAATGTGAGGTCATAGCAGGGGAGCGCACGATGCAAAATGGGGATTTACTCGAGCGTCATTGGGACCTATTAGGTTGCAAAGCTTAGATGACAAGAAGAAAAAAATGTTATATAATATATACCTTTTCATCGGTGGAGGAAGCGGCTATAGATTTTCAAATATGTAAAAAATACTGTTGCATGGACATACTCGAGCGCGTCAGATATTGAGAGCATCAATGTCCTACGTATTTTTAATAATGTTGGTATGTTAATCTGATCGTTTGCATGATGTGGGTGGTTATACGTATAGGTTAAAAGTGAAAAGAAAAAAAAAATTATCGAGCGCGTCAGATTTTCTAAGGGGGTGTTGAGTGCAACAAAAAAGCTCTCATTCAATAATCTGACGATTTCGATCTGACGCAAACTCGCGACCATTATTATAATGTGCAAAAAAAATCGTCATTTTGAAATACTCAAACGCGTCAGATTAAGATATATATTGTTTATCTTTATGTTTTAGACGTGCTGTGTCATAATCTGACGATTATCTAGAGGGATTCGCTTAATCTAACAACAACAAAATTTTTATTTTTTTTAATTCATTGAAAAGCTCAGAAAATAGCATGCAAATGAATAAGTGTATGTCTTTCAAGTAGAATGCTTGCAAAAAAAATAAATTTTTTATAATCAATTAATTAATTAATGGAGAGAAGAAAAATAAAACTTTATATGTTTTTTACCACTTTAATTCGTAACTAACGTTACTGCAGTTTCGTCGTATAAGGACATTTTCAAACTTGTACAATATATAAGGACATTTTCAAACTTGTACAATATATAAGTTTGAAAATGTCCTTATACGACGAAACTGCAATAATGTTGGTTACAAATAAAAGTGGTAAAAAATATAGAAAGTTTAATTTCTCTTTTCTTCATTATGATTTCCTACCACGTAGTAACGGCTACATTCATCAATTAATTAATCATCATCTTCATCTCCATCACGAACGAGTCTCTGTGATCAGCTGTGATGGCGTCATGGCAACAGAATTCAGAGTGAGGACGGAGTGAGGGAGTAATATTACAACTTTGCTGCCCTCCCCTTTTTTAACGTCGCTCTCAAATTGTCAGATTACTGGAATATACACTTTTTAGCATATAATCAACCCACCCTACCTTAATCTGACGCGATCGAGAATTTCTGATGAACAATTTGTTTTCACTGACCTGATCCTTTATCCCTCACAGGTGGCCTTATATATGGGGCTCATATTTGGTGAAGGTACTTAATCGGTTACAAGGTATCCCCCTGTATATTATTCTCCGCGCTTTAGTAAATCCCGAAATACCCGCTTGGTCTCCCCTATTATCAGATCATTTAAACTATATTCCAACGAGTTGAGTGATATATTCGATGAAAGCGAAGAATATGGCATGTGGATGGGTTCAATCACATATCATTTACACCAGTTAGATAGGCAATCTATATCATTTTGTGAGATCAATGTATCGAAAAAAAACTAATCAACACAGTTTATTGTACGATTTTCACTATATAGTGAAGTATCGGCCAGTTCTATTCAATTATCAATATATCGGCCTCACTTTTGATTATTTCAAGACATTTCGAATCCTCAGGAAAAAGCGAAGCTTCACCTTCATGAAAGCAACGTATTAGATCATTGATCTTAAACATTGATCATTGAGGTTAAACAACAGTGGCCCCAAGTTTGATCCTTGGGGAACACCCAATGTTACTGCGATGATATGAGACTAGTAATGATGAAATCTGACAGTTTCCGCACCTTCCACTAAGATAGTTTATTAGCCACTGCAATACCAGCCCATAAACGTTATATAAACAAAGTTTATGAAACAAGAGATCATGAATAACTTTGTCAAAAGCTTTGAAAGATTCAGTGTACACAGAGTTATTTTCTGAACCACTTTTGTTGAGTTCCTATAATTGAAGAGTAGTCGTAAGTGGGAAAATCAGAAATGCTGCTATTAAAACCTTTTCGGAAAATAATAATAGTAGCCTTTGCGTTTTTCCCATATTGATTCAAGAAGATTGGTGTTGAACCATCAGATTCAGGATCCAGCCAGTTTCATTGATGAAATCTATGGCGGGGTATGAAATTATGGAATTGGAAGTACATCGAAGGCGTTCTTTCTCTAGCAAGATAATCAAAAAACAATCAGAAACATAACAATAATAATACTCTCATAGACAACTAGCGCCTGGACTAAAAAAACAACTGGGCGATTTTAACACTGCTAATTTATACGTCCTAGCAAATTTCCTGAACACATAATATGTCAATCGTTGTTAATTTATATCGTCCCGTTACATTAAAAAATTATTCGTGCTGTGCATGTACAGCTTCAATTACTATCGAAACATTTTTTTTAGTCTTTTAGACGAATGACTGTTGTGACCGTATCGAAGATCTGATAACAAACAAATCGAACGACATTTTACCAATAGAACTCGTGACAGAGTGAAAATGGGTATTAAAGAAAGTGCTCTCCCACTTATAGTGTTGCAGGGTGTGTTGTTGATTTTGTTTTTCATTTTCGGGGAGTACAAAACGGAATACGGTGATGGTTCAAGCAAATATCCAAGTAAGTGAATGATTCATTTTGGTAATTTGGTACAGTCATCTTAGTCAAAATGGGGTGAGTATCTCGGGAATTTGAAATACCCAGCTTTGAACTCGTATAGAATTGTATTTTGACATCCTGGAAGTTGTCTCATAACCTACATATGGTGGGGGAGTTCACGACTATCAAAATCTAAGGTCAAACGTCACAAAAGTCGTTTTTTTTGTACAGAAGGTAAGAATAAGGCTCTGCCGAACTCTAAAAACCAGATTCGGTCCCCAGCGGGGCAGTCACAAAGCCTGTGCTCTGCTGTTTCATCATTTTACAAATACACACTCAGTCTTCCGACAGTCCAAGTCTCTGCATATTATGATTCAAATGACAGTGACCTGTGAGAAGGCCTGTTGGACATCGTAGTATATCTCTACTGTAGTCCAACAACTGTTTGGCATCAAGCTTCGGAGGGTGAATAAACGCCTTGGAGTGAGTCAATCCTGGAAGATTCTGCCAGAAGTCCATGAATCTTCTTGCCATCCAGTTCTTTAATATTTGTTTGGCAAAACTTGAAGTGATGCCAATGACAGGTTCTGGTCCGATGAAGCTGTTAGCAGCCTCATTGTCTTCCAGGCCAGTATGGCCACGAATCCGAACCAGAGACAATCTGTTAAGTCTTTTTATCGAGGAGAGTCGTTACTGGCAATTTGCTACCAATTTAGACGTTGCTTGGTAGGAGTTAAGAGCTTCCAATACCGCTTGACTGTCCAAGAATATTTTCATTGCCTTGTGTATGAGGTTGAATTTTTCCATTATCTCCGCACACAATTCAATAGCATAGATTTCTGCTTGAAATACAGTCGCATAGATTCCTAGGCAGGTTGATATATCTGTCTTGTGTCTGCGACTGAAAACACCTGCAGCAGAACCGGAAGGTGTTTTTAATCCGTCTGTGAACCAACAACTATCTTCTCTTGATATTTCTTTCTCCCGAAGGATCCAGTCCTCTCCACACAGAAACAGTTCTTTATAAGACAGTTCCTAGTTGAAAATGTGGAGAAGGGGTAGATCTAGAAGGAACTCCATGGCCGCTGACGGTGTGTTACTGAGTGAGCGTTCCAGGTGAGTCTTTTATCAAGGATAATGCCAAGATATTTCACCTCCGTTCCAAATGGAATGACCTCACCATTGAGGGAAGGTGGCGTTAGATTGTCCAATTTCCTCCTCCTGGTGAAGGGAATTATCACAGTTTTGCTGGGGTTGACAGACATCTGTTCCCTCAGGCACCTGTCAACGTCCAACATACTTTGGAAGATATAACAAGCTACCCTTCCCGACGTTGACTTTTCCAAAATGACAACGTTATCTGCATAAGCTTGCAGATCTACTTTTCTTCTGTCGAGGGCATCAAGCAGACTATTCATCAGGAGCGACCACAGAGGGGAGATAGTATCCACCTTGGCGGCACCCTCTAGTGACCCTGAACTTAATGGCCACGCCTTGGAGGGTGGTAGTTGCAGTTTAGTTCACCAGCAAGGCATAGATTCAGCCAGTTATGGTCGATTCTGTACCTTTTCTAGGTAGAGATGATCCTAGATATGTGTATTGTAGATATCGAGAAATACAGCAACCGCAATCTCCTTGTTGTCATGGGATTGGGAGATTTTCTCAACTGAACTGGTTATAGTTCAAGTTTCATTTCTAATTGTTATTTGAATGGAGTTCAGAAAAAAATAATTCACCGAATACACAATTAGAGCCTATTATATAATATGGTATTCCATGACGTTTCCTCTGCTGGTTAAATAGCTTCACAGTCAGATTTACACGGCACGCTTCACATGTTGGTTCATTCTTGTTTTGAAGCAAATACTCGTGAATAAGACGTGTGTGGCCTAACCGTAAACAGGTTAGGATTACTTGATCTCTTGATATTGAGGCAACGAAACTTTTCACTTCTCTTAGTTTTGATGTTGATCCTTGTCAACGGTTCCGCCATTCTAGAAGCAGGCCCTCTTTAGTTGGATTCTGCATGTCACCTGTCATGGTTTTGGTTACAATTTCAAAAATTACGCTGGTAAACGCTTCTTTGGCGGGTTCATCAACTTGTTCATCACCTCGTTTTCCTATCTGCCATGGGATCCATATGAAATTTGTGTTTTTCCATTTGTCTCTGTTTCATACAGTTGGTTCTTGATTTGTACAGCCAAAAAGTTCCTGGGAATTGTATCCACATTGTATACTCAGAGAGCTGAAATAATCTTTCAGAATAATTTAGTTTTTGTAAGTGGGTGCGTTGATAAATAGAGTGGTAAGGTATGTGGCATATAGTTCCCCTGTAGAAACAGAGCTACATCGTGGAGGTTTGCTTTGAATGGAGATGTTGGGACCAATAATTGCTGCTCCCACTTCCTCATCCGTTTTTGAAGCGTAACTATACAGTTTAATAGGGTTTTGGTATTGTTCTAATAGAATTTGAAAGTGGTTTTTTATGAGTGATGGATTGGTACAATGTTTGTCGAAGATGGAAATACCTGTGTGACATTTAGGTTGGCTTATGATCTGTGGAGGAGAAGTAATCTGTTGGATAGGAGAGACGTCAGTAAAAGTTACACCAAGATCCTTAGAAGCCATTTTTATTCTTTCGTGTAGGGGTTTCGCATATCTAGGCCTGTTTTTATATAAAGTGCTTGGTTTGGTAGGAAAAGTCGTTTCGTAAGAGGGATTTTGTCAGACTGCCTCTACTTCTGCATCGTAAGTTAGTGTAAAGAGTTCAATAATTTCACCTGTAATCATAAAGAAAGAAGATATTTCACTAGTTCGGACTTCCATTGTCTACTATATAAAATGATTTGAAATTCCTGAAACAACTTAGACCGATCATCAGCTCCAGAGATTCGGCTACTCAAAACTTGTCTAGATTTTTACTTCTCTTAATACAACCATTACAAGGAAAAACATCGTCTTTTGTGTAAAATTCACTTTACATAAGATAAGGGACTGCCAATGGGATCGCCACTTTCACCAGTCATAGCCAATATATATGTGGTTTGAAACTCTGGCCATTGAAGAATCCCACAAGAAACCTCGAGTCTGGTTAAGATATGTTGACGACACCTTCATAATATTGAACCATGGGAATACTGAACTAGACGCCTTCCTGAAACACATCAACAGCGTGAGACCTTCCATCACTTTCACAATGGAGAAGGAAATCCACAATGAACTGCCATTCTTAGACGTTTTGGTGGAGAGGACCGACAGTAAGTAGGAAACATTTATATACCGAAAACCCACTCATACGGGACAGTATCTGAACCACGAATCCAACCACCATCAATCGACTAAAAAAGGAATCATCAAGACTTTATTAGACCGTGCTTTTGGGCTTTGGCTAGAAGACAGCAGGAGCCTCGCAAGGAAGAGAAGCCGTCACAACCAGTGCTTGCACTTCCCTACATCAGAGGATCATCAGAGAGGATAAGAAGAATTGGTTTTTTACTTGTATTTTATTTCACTATTATTTCATTTCAGGTTCATTTTGGTTAATATAAATGTTATTTTCAGCTATTCATTTTCACTTCTCCTTTTTTAGTTGTTTCAGGGATTTCAAATCATTTTATATAGTAGACAATGGAAGTCCGAACTAGTAAAATTCATCATGAAACATTGTCAATCACCTTCAAACAAAGAAGATATTGATTCACTTATAATTTCAATTGGGGGTACACTTTTTCGAAAAATACTCTATTGTGAGTGTTAAGAACAAAAATATACTCTTCCAAACGTTACGATAATCATCTGCGTTCAAGAAATCTGATTTTATTTTTGCACGCATCAAATGGTTGTGATACGACTTCTGCACTTTTTAAAAAATGGAAAAACATTTTTGAGTGCATTTGAGAAACTGCCGAATTTTGATCAAGTTGAAGCAGCATTTGAAGAAGAAAACTGTCCGGTTCAAAGATTATTTAAGAAAGGAATCAAAATCTTGTTGACAGTCTATAATGCTCCAAAATCTGTGGGCAGTGTCGATCATCTTCGTTACGCACAATACGTCAAGTCTACAAAGCTGAATAAACTAGTGCAGTCATCAAATATTCCACCCACCAACAAGTGCAGCAGCTCACCAACATTTGGATCGTGTTCTTCATCAAGTTTAAACTTGGTTACGGCATAATTTGGAACCCTAGGAATGGATTTGGACAATGCGTAAGGAATATCTGGAACCTATCACGATAATTTCAGCACCTGCTTCAAAGGAATTGCTCAACACAATATTCTGCAACTGCAAGAATGGTTGCAGTTCGCGATGTGGATGCAAAAAATCGGGGTAACAGTGATCTTCAGCTTGTGGCCAGTGTAATGCTTCACCATATCAGAGCGATATCAATGAAAACAGAACCTTTGACCCCGAAATCATGGAAGACCTGAAGACAAATGTCGTTGGAGTTTTCAAGACATGATAATTGGCTTCGGGGCGGACGGAAGAACGATTGGTGATGGTCATACCGCAATTAATAACGGATTCGGAAGAGTACATACCACCCATGGTTAGCCTGTTGAAAAACAGAAAACGGTGTCTATGTCTCACATCACATCAGAAGAATCAAAGGACATTATTTCAGAACATGGAAATCTACAAACCTCTGGATTCAAACTACAAATAGAAATTGGCGCAGAATTGGACAGCGATAGTATGTGGAGCGAAACGGTGGTGATTGGGTTATTTCAGGAAGTGGTTTCCTTCAACCGATCATACTCAAGTCAGTCACGGAAAGGAACTAGGATGAAACTCGGAAACTAATTGGTGATATTTCTCCCACGTGACAAGGAGATTGCAAACTATCCGTCTCATGAGCAAAGTATTTGGAAAATCACGGGCGCCTTGCGTAAAATAGAATATAGGACTGAGGAAAACCCAAAGAAATCGTTGTAAAATAATGAATGGTATCCAAAACGATCAGAAACAGAAGATGGCCAAGTACAAATAACCACAGAATAAATGGAAGAGGAAGAAGGTCGTC